GGACGAAAGATTAGTCCGGTTTCACCCGAGCCGAGGGAGGATGTCTCGTGGACTGCGTCAACCGGAACGTCGTCTTCTGGTGAGATGGACCTTCGAATATCTTTTTAATGCACTTTCAAGGGAAGGGAAAGTCTCCACAACAATGTTATTTCAGGAGATTCATCGAAACCCAGTTTCCATTCGTACCTATATTGTGGAGGAACCCAAATATTACCATCCAAAACCCCCTATGGTAAATAAATTCTTATCCAAGAATGAGTGTCAGTCTCAAAACCTACTTCTAGTGAAAACTGTTTTTGCCATTATAATTACTATTGGCCTCTTAATTATCTTAGGTGACCTAATCGACTAGGTTCTTATTTAAGAATGACTGGTGGCCTAGAAGATTACTTTCAATTACTATTAGCCTTTCAATTGTTCTGGGCGACATAATGTGACTAAATATTTTCCAAAAATTAATGACGAGCATGAAACATATAGCATCGAAAATTATATATGTCATTCCAATTAATATTATGAAATGTATTCACCCTATTTCGTTTAAGGTGATGAAGGACTGGTGTTAGAATTTACTCACAATTATATGAGTAGAGCTGACGTTTCCATTGAATTCCACATTGCCTTGCTTTCCCAAATGTTGCAGTCCACCCTGGATGAGAACAACTTTTGGGAAAGCAAGGCAATGTGAAATTCAATTAAAGTGTCAGATCTGCTCATATCATTGTGGGGAAATTCTACTACCAGTCCTTCATCACCTTACACGAAATTGGATGAATGAATCTCATATTACTGAGTTACTGGTAGTCTTGAAACTCTACTCAAACGATTAATATTATCCCGTTGATCATCTTAGGCGACATTAGGTGAATAATACATGAGATGTATTCACCATATTTTGTTTAAGGTGTTAAAGTAACAGGTAGTTTAATTTTCCCACACTTATTGAGCTTACATTTCCATTTAAATTTCACAGTTTTTGACTTCGACTAAGCCTCATCAGCACCTAAAGCGGGACTCAAATCATGACAATACTGCGTTTAGTCACGATAACTTGACCACTAAGCCAGACTGTCCCAAGTGCCCTTGGTTCACAGAGCAGATGTGAATTTCAAGCAAAGTCAAGCATTTTCCTATATTACATTGTGTTGTAGGATTGTTAATGAAGCAAAGTTGTATATGCTATAGCAATCGACTACTGATAGTCTAGACGATCTACTTATAAACTAAGAGAATAGATTATTAAGATCTTACCCAAGATTTACTTTTGGTCTAGAAGTCAACTTAGATCTAAACTTGCGGACATCAGTACTATTCACGAAGGTGCCTATAATGATGAAAATAATTCTTAAGATTATTAGTGATTCGTGAATAAGAACTTGGGCAAATTGAACTACCCAAAGCTACGAAGTATAATGGGGATCTTCTGAGATAACATTGATGGGTAGACTTTCATTTCATATGAAAGTGCATGAATAAGATATTCGAACGTCGATCTCACGAGAAGACGACGGTTGACTTGCGTTGCACTGTAGCCGTTTGGGTTTAATATGACGTTCATGTTGACGCAGTCCACGAGACATCTTCCCTCGCCTCGGGTGAAAACTGGTTGAGTCTTCGTCTATCATATGATAGACGTCATCAGAGTGGGAACTCATTATTGTACAAGTCTCACATTAATGCTGGGTCAATAAGACTATCTGGCTCTATCTTATCTCTTAGCTTACTTATTAATGAAAAAAATTGTTGGGCAATGAAATATATACAACGATTTGGCCAATTATATTTCATAATGCTCCTTTTGCTCGAGTGTATGTGTGTACGTGTGTATGTTGAGGTCCATACACAAACAAAAAGCCTAATTTCATGCTCTGATCATCAAGTCTTAGTGACTCACGAGAAAGCCCTGATCGAGACTG